CAGTTCGAAAGCACGTCAAAGTGTAAGTAGATAAATAGGTACCACTCTGGTGGGAAGGTAAACGGCATTTCCGTGCATTGCTCTGGTTCGCCAGAAGCGGCTTAGTCATGCTGGCTACATGACCCAGAAGCTGTACGCCGGCTCCCTCGGCAAATAAAGCGAGATGAGTGCCGCAACCCCAGAGTCGTCCGCGACTGGACCTAATGGTCAGGGACCCCTTTACCTTTACCTTTATAGACCCTTTACCTGATAATCTGAAAGAAGCTTTTGTAACTGTTCAGTTCTGTATAATACTCCAACCAAATGGGATATGTATGCAGACCTCACTTGAAGCAACCCTCTAGCCCTCTTCTGATTATTCTTTGGTTCTATGTCAACATGTGAGGGTGACTGCAGGGTTGAGTGTTCTAGCACTACATCCCCATCATTCCCACAGGTTGGAGAGAGAATGTCTGACATGGAGAGCCCCACATGGCTTGCAACAGGAGGCTTCTTGGAGCTTGTGGAGCGCAGCCGGAATGGCAATATGGGGTGGTGGTGAAGCTAGCAGACGTGTCTCCACAGCCCCCTTTGTGTGTTTCCTTAACATGAACAATAACACTTGAAGAGGGCTAGTCTTTGTGACTTCAGTGCCATTGACCTTCTGCTGGTTAAAACAGTTATGCTAGCCTGGAAAATAAGATACGTGCCAGACGGTGTGAAAGGTATTTGTGATCCTTATTACCATTGTGCAGCATGGAGCGTTCTTCACGATTCATTTATTTGTTTTTGGCGAGAGTCTTTTGGCAGAGTTCAAGATGGCAGATGATGCCTTGAGCTGGGGCGTTCAACAGGCATTGCGACCAAGAGTCTAATGAGATTACAGAAGAGACGTAGATCTTTTGCTGCTTCCATCTTTTCTCAGTAGCATCTGGATTTGTGCCACACACAATGTGGCGCCTTTCACGCTGTCTGTTCCCCCGCCTTGGATTGTTGGCTGTTGGGTTTAAGAAATGCAGAGTGCGACACTGTCACATCAGCTGAATGGCAAACTCATGAACTCCACTGTAAGGCCGCAGAATGAAGAACATGCAGCCTCATTCTTGCTGCTTCTGACCATGGGTCAGCAAACTTTTTCAGCAGGGGGCTGGTCCACTGTCCCTCAGACCTGGGGGAGCGGGCTAGACTATATTTTGGAAAAAATAATAATGAACAAATTCCTATGCCCCACAAATAACCCAGAGATGCATTTTAAATAAAAGCACACATTCTACTCATGTAAAAACACCAGGCAGGCCCCACAAATAACCCAGGGATGCATTTTAAATAAAAGGACACATTCTACTCATGTAAAAACACGCTGATTCCTGGACCGTCTGCGGGCCGGATTGAGAAGGTGATTGGGCCCAATCCGCCCCCCGGGCCTTAGTTTGCCTATCCATGACTTTGATATTCAAAAGGGACACTTGAGAGTCCTTTTTATGCTTTGCAGAGCTGAGATAACTTTCTTGAGAGTAAGCCTGTTCTTTGAGATATGCGTTAATGAGCGGCAACTCCTTTTAAAAAACAAAACAAAAACCCAAGGAAGGTTCCCCCGCCCCCCCGGTTTCTCTTTTTCTTCTGAAAATGAACTCTTTTAATTTGAAGCATTTGCTGCCAACACTCTCTCCCTGTGTTCCTCAGTGCCCTACGAGTTTTGCTATTGCATGTATTAGAATAAAAAACTCATCTCATTTTAGAATCATAGAATCATAGAATCATAGAATCATAGAGTTGGAAGAGACCACAAGGGCCATCGAGTCCAACCCCCTGCCAAGCAGGAAACACCATCAGAGCACTCCTGACATATGGTCGTCAAGCCTCTGCTTAAAGACCTCCAAAGAAGGAGACTCCACCACACTCCTTGGCAGCAAATTCCACTGTCGAACAGCTCTTACTGTCAGGAAGTTCTTCCTAATGTTTAGGTGGAATCTTCTGACAGTAAGAGCTGTTCGACAGTGGAATTTTAGTTGGTGGATGAAATGAAAGGTGACACAGGAAATGGCTTTTGGTCTGAAGAGGATATGCATGCCATTGGTGGGGCATGTAGGGTTTTAACTGGAACAGGTATAAGAACCTGGGAGCCAGAGACATTGCTAATGTATTTATAACATTGGGACTCTTAGATGCAACTTTGCATAAATGTTGCATAAGCTGATTTATATGCATCGATGCAAGTTTAGAATTTAAATGTCACACAGAATGCAACCCATCTAATTTCCCATCCAATGTGTCCCACGTAAATTAATTTGCACCCTACCTCAGTTCCTCTTCAATACATTTAATCCCCAGTTAATTTTCCAACAGATCCTGCTCCAAATCAATTTATTCCTCCCTCAAATCCTTTCTAGACAGACACCCCAAATGAATCTTATTTCCTCCGGTTAGTATCTTACCATGCAGCCTAGATGATGCACCCGCTTTCAGTTTCTCCCCAGATTCATTACTATTCAGAAACGCTTGGGGCACTTAGAAAAATAATTCATGCCAGTGCCGTGTGGGCCCCTCGCTGGGAATGCCACTGCTGGGGCACTCTTAGATCTGCCCTAGTTTATGGAGAAGCAGCATGAGGCTATTGCTAGGTGCATTCCAGCCTCCAAGTTACTACGCGGCTACGGTAGGAGAATGTGGTGGCTTCCCATCCAGTTTATAGGCTTCCTGGAAGAATTTATTTTGTGTGTGTATGTGTGTAATCATCATCTGGTTGGTCACTGTCAGAAGCAAGATGCAGGACTCCAGCCAATCCAAATTGAGATGGCAGTAGGTGGGTGTATCTCAAAAAACACCGTATTTTTCCATCTATAAGATGCCCCCATGTATAAGATGCCCTCTATTTTTGCGGCAACAACCAATCGCCAGTCCACCCTTGGCACTATCCGTGTATAAGATGCCCCCTAATTTTTGACATTATTTTTTAGGGATAAAACCTAGTCGTATACATGGAAAAATACAGTACTTTCTAAACTTCAGAACCTTCTCCCAGAGTGACTAAGAAAGCATCAGTGTCAGTCTGAACAGGCTGTAAAAACATCCTTGCTTTGCCAGAGCTTTAAGCGAGGATTAAAATTTTAAACGGCTGCTTCATCTTATATTTGATTTCATTTTGGTTTCGTAATTATTTTAGTGTGGGGGAGAGAGAGATAAAGAAGGAAGAGATTTGAGATTTTCTGGGGAAAGAAATGTTCTCATAAATGAGCCAGCAGAGAGAAGAGTACAGGAAGTAGCAATAGATCTGATGGAAATCGGCAGCAGCCAGGTTTTTCGTTTAGCCAACACAAGCCTAGCTGAAAGCATTTGGGTGGGATAGGCACAAACAACAGGGAGGCGAAGGCCGGAGACAATGGTTTGGATCCAGAAAATGATGGGGTTCCTTCAGCTCACACAACGGTTCTCCCTCCCCAGCTTCTGTCATTCATCAGTAGCCAACTGAAGAGCCCACTAATAGTAAGGCAGCCCTCCAGAGCAGGACTCAGGTGGTACAAATGGCAGGCGGTGGAAGGCAAAACCAATCCTCCAACCAATGTATATGGAAGCAATTTGTATGTGTGCACAAGGACTTTTCTGGGTCCTTGCCACTGACTGCAATTTGGAGACCAAATCAGGCATGCCTAATTTTTGCTGAAATCAATGGCTCTTCTTCCCACTAATGGTAATGGAGGTTAGGCACCCTTGACTTGCACATCCTAGGTAACTTGGATCATTTTTTTTATATAAAAAAGGTAAAATAGATTGCAGCATTTTTCAGCACTACAGGATTCCCTTTCATGCAGAAGAAGTGAAATGCAGAATGAGAAGATGCAGTGAACTGAAGGAACTGAAATTAATTAAATTCACCCCACCTTCTCATTCTTTCTGGGAATTGAAAACTTTTTACTTTAACCAGTTCATTTCACCAACAGAGATTGCCTCCAGTGAACGGTGTTGCTTGCCTGCAATTTTGGGCTAGATGCAAATAACTTGTTTGGCATGTTCTTAACAGCTCTGATGGAAGCTGATGCTGTGTGAATTCAGAAATATAGATATGAAATTGAAAGATTGAAACCCTGTAGCTAACTCCTAAAATTTGAGAGGGTGGGTGGATGCACGCAGACTTTATTCAAGAGATTCATAAGGGTTTCTGGAATATAACTGTTTCAGTACAGAGGTGTCACTACCTTCTAATTATGATTACAATCCACTTATGATGGCTGTTTTGAAGATGCCGTTTCCTTGCACTCCTGTGGGAAAGATAATTGTAATTAAACCAAGAACGTTGTGCTCAGTTTCTTTCCATCAGGGCTGACTGACTGGCTCAGAGACAAGGAATTTGAAGAATAATCTGGCATTGTTGCTTTTGGATGAGAGCACTACCAAATGTCATCCTTCCTAGCTCTAGTTAGAGAACTCTGTGTCCTAGAGAGAAAGAGAGAGAGGAGGGCGCTTTCTTATGTATCAATATGCTGTTCAAAGGTTCCTTTTCTTTTTTATGAGAAATAATCAGATGAGAAAGATGAGTCGCTACACCTCTGCCAAAAAGAGAGAGGAAAAAGTTCCTTCTGAACAAACAGCAGCACCGTAAATAAATGGTGGGTTTTGTGGGGTCGGGGGCCTATCAGTCCAGTTCCTAAGCAGTAGCGAAACAGAGCTGAATCGGAGCTGTGTGCCATTCAGTTGGGGTGCTGGTACTTGGACTGCATTGTTGTCAAAGCAGAACAGGACTCTCTGTTGAGAATACCGAAGGTTTTCTCTTAAGGTCAGCCACTGTGTTTCCTTGTTCCAGCAGTCCTGCGTGCAACTGGAAACCTGCAGAGCCAGGAGTAGAGAACCTTTTCGCAGCCTGAGGGCTGCATTCATCAAGGGGGGCATTCTGGAGGCTGCGTACCAATGATATAAAAGTGGGAGGAGCAATGAATGTGGCTCTTTACCTTAGAATTATAGAATTGCAGGTTTGGAAGGGACCACGATGATCAAGTAGTCCAGCCCCCTGCAATGCAGGACTATTTTGCCCAACATGGGGCTTGAACCCACAGCCTTGAGATTAAGAGTCCCATGCTCTACAGACTGAGGTATCCCTTGGTATAGTAAGCCTACTATACCAAGCCTACTATACCATTCCATCCACACAAAACCACTGATTTTTCTAGCTAGGGATGATGGGAGTTGTAGTCCAAAAAAACAGCTGGAGAACCAAGTTTGGGAAACATTGATACGGAGAAATAGGACTGCGATGAGCCCTTATTGAATTTCAGAAACCACTGTTTACTGCATTTATCTATCACCTATCTGTTTGTATTTGTTGGACGTTGTAAGAAAAAACTGCTCTTTTTCCCTTATGGGGTACCCAAGAGCCTGTTAAGATTCCTGCTCCATGATTGCAGTCATGGGATTATTGTCTATCACATGATGGTGTATGTTTTCATTCCACAGAGTGGGAAGTGACGGAGACGGGATGTTTGTGTTACTGTGTTCCGTGACGTGGGACTATTGTCCTTTGTCCTTTCTCTCTGCTGTCTGATGAGAAAGAGGAAGGAGCTAAGTCAGAATGCTCCATGTGTGTTTATATGTCAATAAAGTAGATTAGCCAAAATGCTGAGCTACTGAGTTCTGTCACGTGAACTGCGAAGACTCTGTGGATCCCTAAGTGTGCCGATGTCTGTTGGCATTGGTCGCTGTGATGTTCAGGCAGAAGAAAGCTTTTGAAGCTCCCGAACGATTGACCAGGAGGGAGAGAACATGTCAGTTGGGCATGTGTATCTACCAGGGTCCTACTCAAGAGTAGGACGGGCTCCTGACAGAGCCCATATAGAGTCCTTTTGTAGGTTCTATTGGAAGGAGAAAATAACAGAGGCCAACCAGAGACTATTGAGAAGCAAAGCAGCTAGTAAGCCTGATCTTTATTTACTGTTGCAACAGGGTGCTCACAACCACACGCAGGAGGCAGGAGGGACCCTGAACAATGGTGCACAAGCCCTTATATAGACATTTGAAATTGCCCACCCTGGAGCAACAGACCCATCACAGAAGGGGCAGTCTACAACAGAATCCTGGCTAGACAGAAAACCTGTTGATGGGTTTAAAGGTAAAGGTACCCCTGCCCGTACGGGCCAGTCGTGTCCAACTCTAGGGTTGCGTGCTCATCTCGCTCAAGAGGCCGTGAGCCGGCGCCGTCCGAAGATACTTCCGGGTCACGTGGCCAGCGTGACGAAGCTGCAGCTGGTGAGCCAGCACCAGCGCAGCACACGGAAACACCGTTACCTTCCCGCTATAAAGTGGTACCTATTTATCTACTTTCACTTAAGGGTGCTTTCGAACTGCTAGGTGGGTAGGAGCTGGGACCGAACGACGGGAGCTCACCCCGCCGCGGGGATTCGAACTGCCGACCATGTGATCAGCAAGTCCTAGGCACTGAGGTTTTACCCACAGCGCCACCCGCGTCCCCCGTTGATGGGTTTACCTGGCTGTTAATGGGTTTACCTGGACAGCCTGGCTATTCTTTTGTGATGATAAATACTTAATTCTTGAGTCTTGAGTCCAGGTCACAGGCTCGCCCTATTCATATCTTAAATGTGCCCTTAAGGCAGGATTTGTGAGCAAAGAGACAATGGGGAGGTTTTCCCCATTTCCTCCCTCCTTGCAGAGAAACATTTTTGGTCAATTTGGGAGAGACAAAATGGTTTCAGGACTTTTCCCTGTACTGTTTCAGACATGTGGTTTATATATTTATGTATATGTTTGCTTGGTACATTTATTTTATAACTTAGACTTTATAATTCTCATAACAGACACTTTGTAAAGCGAGTTCTCCAGGCACTGTACAAAATCACTTAAAAACCAAGGGCCGTATACAGTGCCCTTGTTCCGTTTGCACAAGGAAACTCCTCCCCCCGCCCTTTCCAGATCTATTTCATAGGGTTGGGAAACCCCTGAGCAGACTGAGTGGGTGGAGAGAAGAGGGGGAGAAGTTTAATTGCGCAAGGGTATATATCCTTGCACGAGTGGAATTGAGAGACTTGGCATAACCGTCGACGCAAGCCATAGTAATAATTAAATCCTCAAATGCGTGACACAGGAGTGTCACCAAACGTAATTGTTATATAATGAAGACAAAAGAAAGTTCACCTGTGATTAATTACAGTTGCTTAGCCTTCCTGGGGAGCAGGGGTGTGGGGTATGTACTTCTGCATTGTGAGCGAGCAAACGATAAAATCGTTACAGTTGTTCTAATTTGTGGAAGGCAGTCTGTGACAGTGTACTAGTCGATCTTTCTCCTGCAGCTGTGTTGCTCCTTGGCAGTTGCGTAATTGCTTTCGCTGATGAGGTAAAGGAAAGGATGTGTGTGTAGACTTCAAAATCTGAGGAAATGCTGAGGAAAGCTCAGCATTTATTATTGGGCTGTGTCTTAGGGGGCCTGATTTGATGAGGTCCCTCCCCATCCCGCACCAAATACAGTGGTACCTCGGGTTAAGAACTTAATTCGTTCTGGAGGTCCGTTCTTAACCTGAAACTGTTCTTCACCTGAGGTACCATTTTAGCTAATGAGGCCTCCCGCTGCCACCACGCGATTTATGTTCTCATCCTGAGGTAAAGTTCTTAACCTGAGGTACTATTTCTGGGTTAGCGGAGTCTGTAACCTGAAGCGTCTGTAACCTGAAGCATCTGTAACCCGAGGTACCGCTGTATTGTAGTAATCCAGTGGTTTTACAGGGCATGCTGTTCATGTTTTACTGCTGGCTTCACAGTGTGGGAGTTTAAGTGGGGAAGGTGCTTTGCAGCTCTTTAAGGAGAAATTGGAGCACTTTGAAACTAGCATATGTGGGGAGGAAAGGCCATAAACAAGTGATTATTTACTTTTTTAAAAAACAAATAAAAACAAAACAGTCTTTAAGAGAGCACAGTGGCTACTTCCCTTTGACAGCGCAGTCCATTTTTAAGAAGCAGCGGTCTTAAAATTGCCTATTTGCTTAGTCTCTAGCCTCCCGTTTGGAAGGGTTATTTTGACATCATTACTTCTCAGTGGAATAAGCACGCTGTATTTTGTATGTGCTTATTGCTGCTTTGACTATGCTTTCTGGTTAAAAGTCCACTTTGGCGGAGTCAAGATTTGTCTTTTCGTTGTTCTTAAATTGCTCTTGACAGAAACATGTAAAGGATGAAATCTGTAAAGGATGAAAAATGTTATTCAGCATCATATTTCAAATCCATGTTGAAATTCTTTGAGAAAAAAGTTTGTATGCTTAGACCTTGGGAAAGTCTAGCATGGTGGCTGCTGAGAACAGGAATACTGCTATTTTGCTCCTCTGTATGTGTTCAGGTTTGTATTATACTTGCATTATGCACAAACAATACACTTAAAGGAGTCCCTTTTGTGGCAGTGACCCAAAGGGCCACAATAAATGTGATAATGTGTACCCCTGTAAATCCTTGAGTGTGCTTCTAATAGAGAAGTTATGGTAGCCTGTTACTTTATGAAACTGATGATTTTGCAAGTTGCCATCTGCATTGGGGCAGAAATACAGCTAATATGTGAATCACAAAGATACAGCTCAAATCTAGAACATAAGTTGCTACATGGTGCAAATGGCTACATGTAACACACATTCCCAACATGCACACTAACACAGTGTAACAGAACATATTGGGAATCAGAACCTAATCAGCAGAAATTGCCAGTGTTTATTGCACATGTATATTAAACATGAAATGAGGTAATGATGTATATGATTGGTGAAAACTGAAATGCTTTGTTTGAAATTTTATAAATACAACTGCCTGGACCACTGGGTGGGGTTGCTGTTTTGCGGAACAATCCGACTGTACCCTATTGCTTTGCAATAAACAACTTTG